GCTAATGATAACTATCATAAAGCCTGCCATTTGATAAAAAAACTTTCTCAATATCACCAATAGCTAGTACACTGATTAGCACAATTTTCTGCATTGTGGGTGTAGAAGAATGCAAATCTGGCCAATAGCCAGTCAACACGAATCAGCAAACGTGCATTCTTCTGATTGGATATTTTACTTAAAACGTGCTGCCCTTAAATTGACTCGATAGAAGTGAAAAATGAAATATAGTTAACCAAAATATCTTGCTGCGCTGTAGCATTGTACATATTTAGCTCATGAAGGAGATTTAAGATTAACTGATTCTTGAAGATAAAATCAAATATGAATGTGTAAATTGAAAAGGCCTATAAGCAGGAACCACCTTATCAAACGTAAACAAAACTCGAAAGCTACAGACACGAGAGGCAAAAGCCATTTAAATTGTAATATTGAGTCAATGCATTTATTAACAGACAAATGAGTTAAATATAGAAAACAAAATAGCCCACAACTACACAATGGTCCCCGTTTACAATTCTTCCCGTTTGGCAACACCATCGCGCGTGTAACCACGGAGTTCATCAGTAGCAGACTTTGCCACAAACTTCAAAAGGTCATCAACTTCCCGTGGGCCATCATAAGGCTCAGGTTTAATCTTGTTGCCTTTAGGAACCCAGAAAAGGGATGGGTAGCCAGTAATCGCAAACTCTTTAGGATAGGTGTTAGCAGTGGCATCAATTGAAGCAATCACAACATCCTCATTTGAAAGCTTTTGCGCCAACTCCTCGTACTTGGGTTTCAGGGCTTTGCAATGGCCGCACCACGGAGCAAAGAATCCAATGAGGACATCTTTGGATTTATCGAGGACAACATCTTCGAATGTCTTACCAACCACTTTGACCACAGCTGTCTGTTCAAGTGGTATTGGTTCGGACTTGATAAATTTCTCAAGTTTGTTAGCAGCGTAGTCTGAAATGAACTTTTTCAAGGAGTCAACGTTGACTTTAGTGTTCTCCATCACGAAATGCTCGCCGTCCTTGGTACGAATGGCAGCAACTGCTGTATTTTCAGACATTTCAATACCGATATTAGCCATTTCAGAGCCGTATAATTTATCGTCAGCGAGAGCATATTTAAGATCTGAATCGGATTCCTTAGCGGCTTGATACAGGCGATTCAGATAGTAACGGATATTGGACGGATTACGATCGAACTCGACTTGGGTGTAAATAACAAGCTGAGGAAGGCCAATAAGACTGTCCAATTTATCGGTACGAATACCAACAAGACCAATACTAGAAGGAACGGCAATGTAAAATAAAAATAACCCTACATATTATCACGAATCCATTTCTCCAGAGCAGCCTCTTCTATCTTGCCAGTATACGTGAGGGTCCTTTCCACCACTTTTGACTCAAAGATTTTAGGTCGGTTTAGTTTAACAATACTAGAAGAAATATTAGTCGAATGATAACCAATTTACCTATCAGCAGTTGAATCAAGGAGCTTATCCTTAATGTAGAAGAATTTGGCATATTTGATCAACTTTCTGGCGACATTTTGGAACTCATCAGTTTCAGAAGATTCCTTGGATTGAAGGATAACTGTGTAGTCATTGCTATCAAGGACCTGCTTGAGCTTATCGGCATCAACCTCAGATGCTGGAGGTAGGGTTTTCTCAAGCATAAAGTCCACCAGGGCCTCTAAGATAGTTATATACCACGTGATATAATGGCTTACTTTTAGTTCGTGGTCCATTATAATCGTCAATGTGATTGCCATAGGAGTATACTTTTAGCGTGGGGAATCCTCGAACATCAGCTTCATCACACAATTCCCTGTCCTCATCACAATTCACTTCATGAAGTGGTACTACGCCTTTAAGCTCGGTTGCCGCTGATTCATAATGCGGTGCAAGGGCTTTACAATGGCCACACCTAAGCAAATATACAAAAATAAATATATTAGTATTACCAAGGAGCATAGTATTTAACCATGGTCATAGGATGTTTAAATATATCCTCTCTATTGTCCTTTTTGATAGAGATTACATCACCACAAAGAGCAAGGGGAACAAATACCGTTAGCACAAGGACTCTCCACATTTCAAGACTTAAAGTGAAGCCACAAGAAATCAAATGGAACAAAAAGGACTGTGTTTCACTCTTATTGGTTAATGTTAAAAGATAAAACAAATGTTCAAATACATATATGACACAGAAAAATGCTAGAAACGAAGATATTTCTTAATAATTTGTTAAATTTTTAAATTTAATGTTGGAAATTTAAATGTCCAAAACTCATTTAATTGTAAACGTTCAATGAATATCTCAGATAAAAGATGAAAAATTTTATCATTTAAGCCTTATTAGGACCCTTCAAAATTAAATATATGAAGTTTTGCTTCAATTATATAACACCGTCAGCCAGAACATTTAAATGCGGAGTCTTGAATTCTTATATCCATATGGTTAGTGTCTTCAAATAAATCGAATTGCAATTGTTTAACCGAAGGCCTTTAATTACGTTAACATTGGAATAAACTTTTTCCCGCTTGTTTTACTTGATTGAGTTTGTGCTATTCTATGATATATGTATTGAATCACTTTTTCCTACATATTCATTATATCTGGAATCAATTTCAAATTCGACAAATATCTTCAACAGATTTAGAATACATCTATGGAACTTCCGGAATCAATAGATTAAGCTTTTCACGGCTTTTAGTTTTTTTTTCATAATGTTGTCATAAAGCATGTGGCAGTTATGCACTGACTAAACTGAAAGTACTTTATATTCTTAATCCACAGAAATATAATTCATCAACTATATTCCAAGCACAATCTTGGTATCACTTAAAATAAATACAAATTGGTGATCACATATAATAATCACATTAATCTTAAATGCAAACAACAATTGGTTTCTTCATATAAGCTTCAACAGGAACATGGCTTTAAATATGTCTAACAAACTTTGTTCAATTATCATAATTCATTTTTGCTCAAATTTTAGTTGATTCAACCTACATTAAGGGACAGTATATTTTATTCTATGTTACCTGCACTGTAAAGTTCAATTGGTTCAATACAAAATTAATTTAAAATGTCCTTAACATTTTATGTTTTCTCAACCCAGAACGCCTTTCCTAACATTTCAACCTCATCTCCGCTACCAATTTGGAAGAAGGTACGATTGATTTAGCACCCACATATCCCAGTTCATACATTGACAACTTTGAAGTCTTACCAATTAAATACCGTCCAAAGTTCAAAGTACAAACTAATTTTTTACAAATACAGTACTTAATAAAATTGAATTTAATAAATTACACATTTTTTCTTTCTGAATCCATTGTGGCTAGTACAGAAGAAACAATAAGTACCAGTGCAAGAATAATACCAGCCACAGCAATTATTGAAAAGGCAAAAAATTTCTGATTGCTCAAATGAAACCGACAAATTTTAAATCTGCTTCCTCCCGTCGCAACATTTTCACTACTGGTCGGCGTATCATAAATGCTTGATCCAAATGAAGTTGAGTTTAGGTCTTTCTGGGCGGCTCGGTGTTGCGAAATGACAGCCTGGACAATTGGTAGTAAGCGTGGAACACGATCTGCCATAGTATCGCCGGTTCTTAGACGGTTCCTCAGCAGCTATATTGAAAAAGTAAATAAATAAGGATAAAATTAAAATCTTACAAAAGAAAAATCGAAAAACAACCAAATAATACTCAACAGATTTGCGTCATATCTGAATGAGCGTTCTATTTTCTTCAACCCCTTATTGCCTCTAGGACCCATTGGCTCAGCTCATTGGTTATTCAACTATCCGTCTTAATAGCCGTCATATTAGTAAAGCTTTACAACAACAGTATTATAAGTCCAATTTGATGCCCTAGCAGCCATCTATAATTAGTCCTGTGGCAACATTTTAGACGTCATACCAACCTCTGGGGTAATTATATCTTGCATAAAAATTGCCCTGTTTTATCAGACGTTTCCTGTTCGATCTCGTTTCAAGTTTGTACTCGTTACACTTGAACACTATTTGAATGTAGGCGAAGTCAATTTACGAATGATCCTTCATATGACCATAGATAACATTGGAAATTGGTGAAAGAGCTCTATTAGAATTTTCTCGAACCTGAACTATTACAAAGTTGTCAAAAATGTCTAAATTCAGGAAATGGGTTCGTGATCTCCGTTATGTTTAGTAAAATGAATTTATTGTGTCTTTGTGTATTTTTAGTGCAAATTAAACTCGAAATTTGTGCGAAATTTACATTCACGGGTTACAGAAATTTTGAATCGACTGAAAGGAAGACGCTCACTTAGGGGAGAGTGAAAGGAAGCTAAAGGGAATAGAAATGAACAAAATTCTAAATCTGCTTGCACAATATAATTATCTAGTTATAAATTATTATAAAGTCATAATTAACCCTAAATTGAAAACGATAGAATATTGAATCAACAGACTCTTAACGTTTTAATTTTAGGGCCCAACTATTTCCATATAACGTTTTTATTGAAAAATTTTGTGGTTTCCTTATCAGTCTATAAATAAGCTACTTTGAACTGTTTTGGTATCCGCTAAATAATGGTTTTCCATCAAACGTCACGTAATTAATGATGCTCAGGTATTACTTACCTTAACAGTATTATGAAATAGCTTGACAGAGGTTATGGCTAACCTAAGTTCTGCTATCTCCTTTTCACGAACTTTGACCATTGTATCCGCGATTGCTGTAGAATTTGAGGGCGCATAATCCATCAGCATTCCCATTTCTACTTTCCTCTTAGGCGCATCTGGGTATGCTCTCAATAGCCTCTCCCCGTGCTCAAAACACTTCAGCACGTATTCGAGAAAAGTTAAGTAGTAGTTGCAAAGTTGAAATAATGACTGTTCTTTCGATATTCTCTTACGCTGATATTCAATCAACACAATGAAATTCTCCTGCATTGTTGTGAGCCCAATCATTAGAGCTCTACGTTGTTGCATCCATTGATCCCGAAGAGGGCCAGAATCTTTCTCAGTGCCAACTTCATGACTACTGATATTATATCTCGCAACTAGAGAGCTCAGCTGTGGTCGTACTTTCAGGAGATAGTCAATAGCCTGCTGCATGTAAGGACTCACTAACTGACTAGCTGACCGAATGCAGTCAGTAAATGCAGTAGTATCTTGTAGTTGATTTTTTGCAATGATAAGCAGTTCCCCACTTTTATTTTATTGGTTGTTATGCAGATAATTTATTGGAAACTCATGAGGGCGTGGCGGCTGATTCTATTAATTAGGGTAGAGATTGAGCACAGGTGGATAAAGTACGACCACCAGACTGGTTCAGCATACACAGAGAATTTTATGCTATTAGACATAAAGTCCCACTGCGATTAGTTTACTTACTGAATAAGGAAATTAAAAAAAACATTCTGAAATTAAAAATTATGCCTAGTTTTGTCTGCCTGTTTCTCACTGTAACACAATACAAGCAAATCAGTCGCGGAGGTAAGTCAATCGAACAATAATCTTTGTTTATGCAGGAAATGATTTGAACCATAATTCTGGGCGTTAAAAGAGGTATTACAAATCGAGTTAAACGTGGTAAACTCAATACTTCCCAGCTTGAATTAAGTAATATTTTCGATGCACTGATTTCGTGAACTATTTTTGATTGGCCACTTCGTCTCTCACATACCTCAATGGGCACATCTAAAGTTCTAACTATTTGGAGGCCTTTTATATGGCATCACAACTTTTAAAGGCAGCATTAGGAAGAATAGATTTCATTACATCGTACATTTCACTATTCTAAGAAGCATCTTGGGTGTACACGTCTACTTGCCAATATCAAAATTGACCTTATGTGTGGTATTCATGCTCTCAATGTCCAGGCAAAGTGATAAACTTCAATTGAGGCACGCCGCTTGAACTGTAATGGCGTTGTTCCTTGAAAAAAATGCACATATCTTACAATTGCCTTAGCGATGCAGCTGAATATTATAAAACCTTAAAGACCCGGCATCTTCCAATTTGCCTGACAAACTTGACGAATAGACCTTTGAGGAAATAATAATTATTCCTCTTGGGTTCCTTCGACTAGGCTTTGAAGATATTGGACATAGAGTGGGAACTACAAGAGAGTTTGAACTTGAATCTTCATTAAAAAGTGCACAGCAAATCCATACAGACGAGCCTGATCATCATGTCTTCTATTGCTTTCCGGACATTTTCCAATAAGTTGCATCATTCTAATAGGTTTGCCTATTGCAAAGTGTTTTGAGACAGATCATCCACTTTTAGTCTGTGAGTATTATAAAACTGGTGACCAGCCATTCGGAAGGCATCTAGAGATTCCTACTGATGATTACTTAAATGCATTAATTAATTTCATATATTTATCATAGTGATTGTTTTAACTGTTTTAGAAAAAATACCCATCCTTATATCAATTGATTAAAATTGGTTGCCGTCTGATTTTCCCAAAATCATGCGGATCCAATAACTGAAGTAGACCTCAAACGTTTAGTGAATTAAGCATATCAGCTTAACAGAAACAGACAGATTGTTTAATAGTTTATATAAAATGTTCCTGAAGTACAATCTTTCACGATTTCCCTTAGGTGAAAAATGGAGAAGAGGAAGACAAATTGAAGACACCGTTTGCCAAACATCCTACTCCACTGTATTGGAGCCAAAGTAAGTCGAGTTCCATGGTTCTTCCTTATTCTCGTCTCATTCAAACATCTCAATAATCCTGAATATCTTTGTACTTACCAAGTCGGAATTTATATTCCCCGTAAAGGGGTGCGCGAGAGACTTGCCTCCACGTGCGCAACGTACACTCATACAGGAAAAAAATCCTTAAACCAGCAGTTGACTTCTGACTTCAAACTGCCATGACCCCATTGTACGTCATATTTAACCACTTCCACAGTACTAACATTACACTACCTACCTTTGTGTCTGTCTGTCTGTCTGTCTGGCATCCGTGAATTACTTTCGACTTTTGACTTATCTTAAAGCCTACCATTTGATAAAAATAGATTAATATTCTTAAAATTGAGGTTCTGAATAATTTTTATCCAAACATTGTTAAAAATAATAGCAACGAGGTATTGAATTTTTCGAGTAGAAATTAATAATTTAAAAATGTGTGTTTTTTAAAATGACACCAAATGGCTATAAAGACGTGACTTCGGTTACGACAATTAATTTTTCCAAGGTACCCCGGGGGCAGGAAATTTGACCAAAGAAAACTATTATGAGTTCTTGAAAAACCACTCGACAAATTCCCAAGGCGTTTCAACAGTGCTTAGAGTCATGTTGAAAAAAAATTGAAGTGTTTTTTTCCACCCGTAGTTTTTCCATTCAACTCCCTGTGGACTTCTCATACTATTTTCTTGATTTAAGTTTTCAAGCATTTTAATTCAGAGGCTGGGTGAACACAGCCCTCTCAAACAGCGCAATTTAAACAAAATTTGCATAACAATCGAGGTGCTAGTCAATGTCCAAGAGTTGTCCGTTTATTAAATATGCATATCTTTTAATAGATTATTTCAGCAAATTGAAATTGTTCACTTTACTTAAAATAAAATTAGGCTTTCACACTTGTTCAAGTCCTTAAGTTTTGCCCTATTAAGTTGATCATATGCGCCTATGGGAAGATGGACGGACTTTGCTATTTTGGGTGGTATTATCCGACTGGTTTGTGTCGCAAGGAGAAGAAAATGCGTGGAGATGACATTACTTTCCATCCAGTTATTTTTTCCAGTTGATCGACATAGTCTGAGCATCACGAAGAGCAGCCGATTGGCTTTAAGATACTTCAAAGGCCAATTAGACTAATAGACATTGGTTGAGATGAACTACTTTAGATGGGGCTGTTTTTGAGAATTTGAATTTTTACAATACTCTGATAAATATTATTCATACTTTGATTTTAAGAAAAAAAACTGCTTTACAAAATGGAAAGAAGAAGGCGAATGTACACAAGCTAATTTAGTAAGGATCTTAAAATTTATTAATAGGTCAGTAATATGAATATATATATGTGGTGTGCGATAGACTTACCTCCACATGGGGCAAACTGGACAACGTATACTCATATGGCAAAAAAGTCTATAAACTGGCAGTTGGCTTCTGACTTCAAACTGCCATGACCCCCCCTGTATGTCATATTCGACTACTTTCACAGTACTCACCTCACCTTTTTTCTACCTTTGTGTTTGTCTCTTGCATCTTTGAAACACTCTTCTGTTCCCCTCCCTCTCGACTTTTTTCAATTTGATGTTCCTTCCCCTCTGTGAAGCCTGGAGTCAACTAAAGGGCTATTGATAATCATCAAAACGCCTACCATTTGATATAAATTAAATGAATGTTTTCCGTAAATAAATTCACACTGTTGTCTAACATTTTACTGCCTAATTCAATTTCCCGATTGGCGCTG